CCCCCGCCCCTCTCCTAAAAAAACGAGCAAACAAACATTTGTCTTCCCCGTTTCTCATATTTAATTCAAGAGACCCCTACCCTTTACCTCTTAACATCAAAGTGGAGTAGAGGCACAACTCTTGACGTGTGTAAGACGTGTGACGATCATAAAACCTTTTTAAACTATATTCGTTCTTCTTCCATTCAAACATTTTTGAAACAAGGAAACGTAATCTTACCCGCGATCGTTATTAACAGGATGGGAAAAGCAAACAATAAAGTAACATTAAGTTAAACTCTCAACACTTATTTTTGTACATTACTTCCGCTCCAACGCCAGGTGTCCATTGAATTTCAATATTTTCACTTAAACGAACTGCAAGCTGCTCTCTTGTGAACGAAACGAGGAAGGTGTTTGTCATTGTTGATGAGAACTAACTCATGGGAGTTACAGTAGTTTGATAGTTCTATTTGTTTCTGTGTGTGGACTTCAAGTACATCGTATGCATGTCTCTCTATGAATGTGTTCGTATTTGTCTCTTTGATAGCGTATTCTGTATCAGGGTACTAACATTGGTAGTTTTTTTTTTTCATTGATCAAACTAATCAAAGCAAATAGTCAGAATTCTACGAAAACTGTGTTCGAAATGTATTGGGGATCGTTCCCCTTTTGGCAGGTACTGAAAAATAAAAACATGAATTAACGAACATCACGGTCACTCTCATGTTCGGATTCCTTAACTTTCTTTTCAGCTCAACTTCGTTGTTCTAGATTGTGTGTGTGCGCGCGTGTGTGTGTGTGTATGTGTGTGTTTGTGTGTGTGTTTATTTATGTGCACGAATGACTCCTTTCATCTACTGCTGCATTTATGTCGCATGATGTTTGCTCTATCCATGTTCAGCAGGATTACTCTTTCAACTTGAGCGTTCCGTTAGCTCAGTTGATATCATGCTGGACTACGGAGCAGTTGGTCCAGGTTCGGATCCCAGCCTGGGCGTTCCTGGAATTGGGTCGCTTTGTGAAGTTTTCAAGGCTCTCAACCCATTTGGCTCGGTCCTATCGGAGACGGACGTTAAAATCGGAGGTCCTGCATCTAAAGTAACCTAATAGTGTTGATAGGGGCGTTAAACACATACACTTACTTTAAACATATTTTTTCCCAACATTCATTTGTTCTTAGGTTAACTGTAGCGGTTTCTTCCAATGACAAATAATAGTGGGTGGTTGCCGAGTGCTCTGGTGTGGTTAGCTCCTTCTTTCCTATCAAACATCCTTATCTTTCGTTTTCTTTTTGGTTTTTACTCTCTTGTAACACCTCTAATCTTCGGCATTGATATAACTTTGTGTTGCAAAGGCAGTAAAACGCTTACTAAAAACCTAAGAAAAATTAAATAGCCTGTAGATTTTAAACGCAGCGCTCAACTCATTTCTCACAATGGCAGTTTAGTTAAAAATCTTCATATAGAACTGTTTATTTTTCAAGGAGTGAATGGTAGGATATATTTGGTGACGTGGACTGTGTGGTAAAACATGTTACGTTTCGTTATGCGCGCGCGCGTGTGTGTGTATGTGTGCGTGTGTGTGTGTATGTGTGCGTGTGTGTGTGTATGTGTGCGTGTGTGT